AAGCTGTAAAACGTTCTTTTCTTTACCTGGTATTCAACAGAGTAGGAAATGGGAGTTGTGTGACGAGAATAGTAAGGAAGTTCCGCAGGTTTCCATGTCAGTTTGACGGATTCGCTGCCCAGCTCCGTGATGGTTGGTTCACGTGATTGGAGCCGAGGCCGCACTGAAGAGGGGATTTTTACAGATATAAATCAATTCATCCAGTGTCCATTGTAGGCTTTTACATACAATTAAAAAGTTCAAATGGTACCACTTGTAAACAAAAGTATGGATACATTGCTGTTTATACAGACCGAAGCGAGAAATGGAAAACGATTCCTTGTTTTAAGCCAGTAAATTATTCACTGAATATGTGTTTACAGCAAAAAAGAAATGTACGAATCTGAAATGGTTGAGAGCAATAGAAAAAAATAAGAAATGAAAAGTTGCAGTGTAACAAGCACAAGAAAAAAAAAAGCACACATTTTGAAGCGCTTATTTCGTTTTTCAGAACATCGTGAGAAAAGAAAGAATGTTGTGATAAGACAATGTTTCACGACAGAAGAATAGATTTCCTTTCGGTCAGAAAAGAGAAAAAAAAGCCACAACAAGTCCCTAATTTTCCCTGTGACACGAATTGGGGCTATAGATAAATGATACACACTATAACATGTGTAAAGATATTGGTTAATATATTTTGCGTAATACTACTAAACGTTTTCTTTCTTGTTTCATTCATTTGACAAAAATATTTCTTTAATTTGAGCCATAGTTACTTATCCAAAGAAGTTTTGTCTGGATCACTTTTTATAATTTTAATTCAGGATATGCCTTAGGCAAATGCAGCGACCAGATGCGGTAAAGGAGGGAAACATTTTGAGGCTTGGGTGGATAAGATGGTCTTAGGAACGGTAAGAGGGAAGAACTTGTTATTACTTAAACACATATTTTGTTTAATGACGTCATTTCTTTTAGAACGGTGGTCGGGGAGGTATTAAAGTCATGGTGATGTATTATAGAGTTCGTTACTGGAAATAAAGCATCTGGGAATGGAGTCGTTAAGCTCAAATGAAGCAACCGTGTATTATGTGTCAGTGGGCTTCAATTTCTCTCATGGTCAAGCCTTTCTTTTCAATTAATACAATACCAAGTTTCATGTAGCAGTACAGGACTTGCGAAGTCACGATGTAAAGCAGTAAAATAAATAAACTGAACGAAGTAGCTGCACTTGGGTATATTAACCGAAGTCGAAAAGAAGCTGACTTTACATATTAATATATATGTAGAGTACGATCCAAGTTCTCCTTTTGTGGGGTGCAAAGGTGAGTCTTTCCGACGACGAAGAATGTTCTAGTAATTCTATCTCAATGTTTCTATTTCTCTCAAAGACAAAAAAGAAATATAACAGAAAAAGAGAAATATGGAGAGAAAAAACAAAGCTAGGGCAAGCAAGAAATTAAAAAAAAGAGGGTGAGAGAAAGCACTAGGCAGAGAGAGAAAGAGAGGGATAGTAGGGAACGAGTGATGAAAAGATAGACAGTTATAGATAGATAGAGGGAGATAGATTGTGGGGGCGGGTGGGGG